AACTATGGGGTTTAGGGACATTAGACTCATTTTTAAGAGGCTGAACCAGGGGTTTCTGAAGTATAAGCTGAACGAAGAGTTCCTTATTGTTGAGGGTAAACAGACTATGAATTTATCGACTTGGAATAATATCACCAAGGTCTTTTATTGCATGTGGGTTTTTAAGATTGTTTTGCTTGCTATTCATTCATCTCATGTTCATCCTGATTTTGCACACATTTTGTCTCTGTGACTTGGTTTGATCATATTCCTGGCCGTGTTGTGCTGCTATTCACTGCGTTCTTACTTAATGCAGGAGTCGAAGTTATACGGTGCTCATTTCAGAGAGATTGATTCAAATGCTCCAAAGGCTACAAAAATAAAATTTGACTGTTCTGATGATGAAGATTGATTCAAGAGGTCGTTGGGAAACGATTCTTGGATAATTTGATTGGCTCCAACATCAAAAAAAAAAAAAAAAAAATCCAATTTTGTTTGTTTTTTCCCTTCGTTTCGTCGTCCTCTAAGCTTGATTCTTTTCTTTTGATTCAGTATGAGATATGAATTATGATTAATTATGTAGGAATTCGATTTATTACTTGTGTAACCAAATGATAATTCTGCTAATACCTGAAGTTTTGCAAAATTAAATTCTGCCTACATATTGATAAATGTACCTAAAGATTGCAAAAGATTGTTTTCATTGAAACTTTAGGGATAGAAAAATAAAAAATACTTGATTGAGGACTCAAGTGATTCAAGTGAAAGTATTTGGACTTGACTATAAATTTTCTTATTTTTAGGAGTTAATTATATATTTTTATCTTTGATCCATGAAAATATTTATTTTTCACATATATGAAAAGATAATACCTGAGGTACGTAAGTCTTACATAAATGCTTCCCCTCCTGTATTTTTTCTGACTATCAATGGCGGAGCCATTGGGGGCACAAATTAACTAGAGATAACTTTTTGGAACAAATAAATAAACAATAATATTATACTTTGAAAACGTTGTATAATTATATTATTTTCAACAGTATTGAATAAATGAAGATTTTCGTTTAAATTTTTATCCGCAACTTCCCTACTTATCAAAAAGGACAAATGCATTTTAAACGTAACTACACATAATATAGACAATACTATTTTCGGTTCTAGATTTAACTATATTAATTTTAAGCCCCTGTTTAGTACATATTCTTTCAAAATTTATTTTCAGTCATATATTTTTCAATAAAATAATATTTTTCATCATATCAATAATTTTTTCTTACTTTTTAACCACATATTTTTCATCATATCACTATTTAAAATACATTCATTTCTCAATAATATCCATCAAACATACCCTGAAAATTATTTATCTATTTATATTATGGAATTATGGATAAACTAACAAAAAAGACAGAATTAGGGGCCGTTGAGAATTTTTTTTCATTTATTTGGAAACTTCACCCTTGTTTGCCTCTCATTATAATGAGATTTTTGGAATAATGTATTTTAAAATAGTAATTTTTGAAGAATATATAGTTAAAAAAAGATATTTTATTTATTTATGTATAATATTATTTTATTAGAGAATATATAATTGAAAATAAAAAATAAAAAAATGTATTAAAATTTTAATGGGGACCGAATAGGGTGAGCCAAGTCAAACCAATACGAAGAATCAAACATTGTCCCAATGTGGATCCAAGATCCCTATTGGCCCCACTCCACTTCACCATTGGTAATATGTCTTATCAGAAATAGTAAAGTTATTTATTATTATAATAATAAAATGTTGATAATGTGAAAAGTAAGTATGCAATAATGAGATTGAACAGTTCAATTTTTACGAGAGAGATGGGGAAGAGAGGGAAATGTAATGAATAATAGATTGACACATCATTGATATTTTATCATTATGATGATAAGTAATATTATTAAAAGGACAATGCTAGGGTACATAAGGATCTACATACGGGTCTACATAATACATGTGGCATGTGATCCCACTTTTAATTCAAATATGACACTTACACATTAATCACCTGATGATTGCCATATCTGCATTATGTAGACCCTTATGTAAATCATTATGTACCTTTAGCATTATTCTTATTAAAAAAGAATACACTTTTCTATGTTTCCACCAAAAAAATAAAAAAATAATAAAAAAAGGAGAAAGCGTACGCTAATAAAATAACAATATTACTGTCCTTTTTTTTGTTACAATATTTAAAGATGAATTGAAAAAGTATTTGTTTTTCAGCTGGTTCAACTATGTCGTTTTCTGAACCCCCCAAACACGACCTAGTACTACCATTCAATTTTCTTAGCACGAGGACGAAGACTAAGAGAAACCTCCGCAAAATCCAAGCCCCAAACCCTTTTTGATTGTTGTTTCGGGTACTAATTACTTTCTCTCTGTAATTTCCTTTTGATTTTTCTTTTAAAATTTAAAGTTGAACGCATAAATGGCTTTAGTTTATGTATGCATATATATGCAAAATCTGGATGTTCGTGTTCAATTTAAATTGCAGAATTTAAGGTTTCATGTCGATTCTTTTAATATGAGGCTCGTATGGAAATGTGTTATTCTACAATTGCGCAAAAAGACAAGATTTGGTGTATTTATGCTTGATAGTTGTGTTTTTTTGTACTTCTTTACTGTTTGGGTAGAATTATTAATGAAATTGATGGGTTCCCAAAACTGGTATGTCTAGTTTTGAGAGCTTAAACTGTTTGTGTTTTCTAATGAAATTGTTGTTTCCTCCAAATTAAATATCAGTGTAACATCTAATTTCTACAAGGAAATGCTTTGTGGTAGGAATCAATTAACCCACTTTACTTACTTACAGAACAATGAATGTTGGGTTATAGGATCAACAACGAGATCTGGCTGATGAATCTACTCTTGCGCGAATGATGTGTTTTCTCTATGTTTCTGATGGAGTACAATGAGTTGCTACAGTTTCATGATAATTGTGTGAATGGAACATGCTGTGGATTTCATATAATTCTGTGTTGTCTTATGATGATCACAATGATAAACACTGCATTACTCGGTGCCCTTTGCCTACCTTCGCATTCAATAAATAGTGCTAATAACTCTACTGTATCTTCATTTCCTTTTTCAATTTTATTTCTATGCTGGAGAGGGGAGGCTAAATAGCTTCTTCCAGTTGCCTTCCGGGTATAATGGAACTGGTGAAAAAAAAAAAAAAAAGACAAATAACTTATATGTGACTCTTGACTATCAAGATGTAACCCATTGTGCATTTCTGTTTGAGTTGGATAACCAGAAAATAAATGGAATATTACTTAATATTCTTGCTTCGACTTATATTTTAATTTCTATCATATGCTATGATAAACGAACTTTGTTAGTTGAAATTTATTATAAGGGAAACAACAAGAGTTGCCTGAAATTATCTTAAATTTAGTAAAAGAAATGTTGTAGTGAGAGACACAGGGGTCTCAGTGTCATATTTTTCAAGTTATCCCATCTGTATTCATGAATAATCAAATAATATTTTTGTTGAAGAAATGATCTTCTACTTGTCTTCTTTCCTTGTTTTATGCTACCAGCAAATGATACCCAACCTCCATTCTCTTATCTCCAATTCTACGTGATGATTTTCGTTTAAAAAGGTCACTAGAAAAAACTCTCTTACTAATGACTGGAAAGCTGAGAATGCTCACTTCTCTCATCACCTTGCTTATATCTAATTGAATATTAAAGTACAGTAGGATGGTCGTGCTATTTTCAACGGAAAGTTCATTCTTACGAGCTGATGTTGAATTATTGTGATTGTTGTTCTAGTCAGATTTTTTAGCATGAATACCTAAAAGATCTTCATTGTTGGAAAAGATCTTCATTTTTGGATACTGCTATTGTTATTCTCTCTTGTGGTGCAGGGGTTTGAAATGTCACGATCACGTTGGATGCTGTTTATCATTGATATAATTGAATTTATGTAAAGCTTGATATCTTTATGCTAAATATCTCCTTAAAACTTGTGAAGCAGAAAAATCAGGCTAGAAGAATAGTTATTTTTCATGAGTTATTGTCAATGCTGTTATTTGGTAATTAAGCCTGAGTTTATTCTATTCCCTTGTTAGCAAGACATATTGGTTGACAATTTTGGGGTCATCGTTATCAATAGATATAAAGTCCTATGACATCTAAACACTTCTTTTCACAATCTTATAAAAAAAATCAGCCTCTGGGTTGTCATTCCTTCTGAGAATGCTACGGTTCGTTAGAAAAACCTATAGTTTGTCTTTTTGTTTTTCCCAGTGATCAAATTAAATATTCTTCTTCTCTTGCTGCCAACTTTATTAGACTTTTCCCGTGTATGAGAATTAATAATTGTTATTGATATAAATTTTCAGAAAACCAGCTATATGCTTGGACCATCATAGAGACCTAGAAGGTTTGCATGCATTATTAGTTATCATACACTTCATGTTTGACTGGATCTCTAGCTCTCATAAACTGTTTCCAGTTGAATACCTTCAGAAAATACGAATAAGGATATTGTTTACTTGGTTTAATTCTCGCCATTTACTTCCCTATTCTTTTCTTTTTTATTAAAAAAAAAAAACAAGATTTACTCTAGGAGGCAAATTTTATTTGTGCCTCAGATTACTGATAATCCATTCAACGGTTTGTTTACCCTGCGGCCTGGTTCTCTTTTAATGTTGAAATATTTGATTAATTCTAATTAGTTTTCCCAGAACTTGGGTCAAGAACCGTCAATATTGCAAATTGGAATATCAAAAGGGTGTGCACGAATTCTAGTTCTTTTTTCTTTTCCATTTTTCATGTCTTGTCAAGTGTGCGCTCATATTTACTGTTCTTTTGCTCATTTATCCGCATGTATTAAATTAGAACTATTGACAAAAGTTTTCGACATGACATGCAAAATGATTCTTAAAAACTTCTATAGTTTCCATTTGAATATCTTTTAAAACATTTTCTCTTAGGCTTGCTTTACTGAGACAAGTTGTTGTTTTGTTGTACCAGGGGATGGAAATATCGTTGCTGAAGTCACTTCTCGACAACTTCACTAGTTTTTTTCAGTTGGCGTCTTGTGAAGGCATAAAATATGAACCGGCTGAGAAATATCATCAAAAGATTGAAGAAAGATTAAAGTTGCTAAAGCCGATACTTGATGCCTTTGTTGATACTGAAATTGCTTCAGATGAAATGCTTCATAAAGCATTAGCCGGACTCTACCAATCTGTTGGCGAGTTGAGAGAGATATTTGAAAAATGGCAACCTCTGATGAGTAAAGTTTATTTTGTACGTGATATGATCTATAATTTTAGCTATAAATATAGCTTTTCTAATGCAACCTAAATGCAAAAGTTGAAACAGAGAAAAAGAAATAGAGTGAATGGTTGGGATGCTTCCTTGATGGTTTCAGTGATTTATTTATGCTAACCCGAATAGAGCTTCTTACGTACTACTGAAATAATTTTCATCTTGCTGATGTTTGCTTGCTATTAGGTTTTACAAGTTGAATCTCTAATGACAAAGATCGAAACTTACTGTTTGGAAATTCCTGAGTTGCTGAAATCTTCTGATCAATTCTTAGCTGCTGAACTGAGTGCTGCATCTCTCAAGGTAACAGCTAGCAGCGATTTATATTTGTCCACACTAGTCTTTCACCCGTGCGATGCACGGTCGGTGAGATGTAAAAATTTATATTAAGTGAGAAACAATTCTAATGATAAATATGCTAATTGTGATTATATGCAAATCACTTCATAATTTGAAAAAAAAATATATACACCACATAACTACTAATTATATGCAAATCAGATAGATAAATGAAAGAAAATACATTTGGGGGTGGTGCAAAAGTAAACTGTGGGTTTGGGGTGGTTTAAAAAAAAAAAAAAA